GGTCGCTATGAGTCGCAAACGACTCGACGGCACATAACAACAACAAGAACAACATATATAATTGACCTACAAAAGTAATTATAGTGCATAAAAGTTAAACACTTGGCCAGAAGTATGTTTGGAACACATAAACTACCTTCTATCATTTATTATGAGTCAATTTAGCCTCTTTAGATTGTGGCAAGAATTTCTAGGTGGAGCAAGTGCTTAATGTGCTTAATGTTTATTGAAAGTTGGGCAGCACACACCCACCCAGAGGCACTTTAGAAAAAGATGGCTGGTGATTGACTCCTAAAAAGTCAGCCATTTAAAATCCTATGGAGTTTAGTTCTGCTCTGACACACAATGGACTACATGAGCTAAAAATAACTTGATAATTATTCCTACTGGTATCATGTGTAAGACATTTATGGTACTTGCAGCTGTGAATGTTTCAAGTTTCTTATAGGATGATTAAACAAACTATTGCAATACTTTCAGGTAAACATTATGAACATGAAAAATAAGGGATATAGAGTGCATAACAATAGTAAGGAGTGACAACTTTTTGATCTGTTGGTCAAGAAATTCTTTGATATTTGAACAAATAACTTAAGAAGCCAAACAATATTTGGTGGGAACATATTCTGTGTCAGTATGGACCTGATTAGGGAAAGTTTTTAGTGTGTTTGTGAAAACTGTAAGAATACCAGTGTGGCTACTGTATTGAGATTTTGCACTGTGATTTAATTATGTTAATTTTTCACTTTTTTGATACCATAGATTCAAATTTTAATATATATATATATATATATATATATATATATATATATATATAATCAGAATGCATTTGCTTGCTATTAAATGCTGATTGTGAAACTAATTGTTTTCATTTCCTTTCTAGGTGGTTACAGCTACAGGGACTCTTGCTTTAGGAATCAATATGCCTTGTAAATCTGTGATATTTGCACAAAATTCTGTCTATCTGGATGCTTTAAATTACAGACAGGTACTGCAGAGTACATAAGCTTTCTAATTTTTGTCATTAAAATATGACCAAAGATTAGTCAAAAGTGGAATCAGAAGTATAAATTTTAGTTTTCAAGCATGCTGTAGTTCATAAACTTGCACACTCTGGCATTCATCCATGTAAAATTTTAGGAAAGTATTTGGGATTATCTGACTATTCCTAACCAGGTGTGTGAGGTTTTATGAGGCATCTAAAATGCTAGATTCTTCATTCATATCTCATGATTTTCCTTTATTTATGTTCCTGACACACAGGTACATGTTTGTTGGATTTTCTTATTTTGTTGTTTATAACTTAATATATGGTCCTTGGAGAGGGACATCATGCTTGGGAGGGTGGAGGGACAGTGCAGGAGGGGAAGACC